AAAAAAGGGGACGTCAGAATGGTTTCTCCCAAACTGTTTTCCCTCAACTTTCTTCTTCTTTTTTTTTTTCATAGCAACAGTCTTTTTTTCCCTTTTTTTCCCATTCAGCCTCGCGCGTCGACAGGAATGATAAACGCTGGAGGTGGGAGAGAGGCTTTTTTTTCTCCATCACACAGATGTGTGGTACACTCCACACCCTCCCAGGTAAACATCGCACAGATTTCCTCAAAAGAGGTCAGCAGCTGCTGCATTTTTCCAGATGTTTTCCACAACCTGTCATCCATAGGCCTCTATAGCCCAAAAAACAAACAACTTACGCCCACCTTTTTTGTCTTAAGTTTTGGATGTGCTGCAACCTAAGTGATGTTGATGACACTTCACAGTGTCCCCCCCCGCCCTCCCCTCCTATTCAATGCCAAGACAGCATAGGTAATTAAATGTGCTGGGCTCAGGTCTTCTCCTGCCAGCTCTAACATGCAGCACTCTGAGGGATCCCACATTAAGGGGGGGGTTTATGGGGCCCCCCCCTGGACGGAGAGGCCTTGTGTTCAGCTCAGGACATCATTTAAGTGGGTGCTTCTTCAGGGAAGTGGTCTGACCAAGACGTGGGAGCGTCTGAGAGCCCCTGGCAATTAAACCTGGTCCCTCTAATGGATCCACGTGTGATTTATAGTTTAATAAGAGGCGTGTACGACAACCATAGGGGCCTCGTGTTCTGATCAGGAGAGGTGATGCTTTCTGTTTCTTATATCTTGGCGCTTAACGAGCTGGAAATCTATTCAGAAAAGTCGACCATGGAGTCACCCAAACGCCTCCAAACTTTAAACCGAGCCCAGATTTGCCCGGGCCGTGATTTGAACAAAGGCCTCGGGGTGGAGGCCACAAGCCAAAATTGTGTTTTGTCCTCCAAGAGACATCCAATTAGGCTGCGGCTGGTAGAGAGCTGCTCCTAAGTGATTCAATCTTTGCTGTCCTGCATCAAAAGCACAGCACCAAACCAGGAACGCCTCTTCATGCTCTAAAGCAAACACTCAGAGCATATTCTGGACTCCTCTCTGGACATGGTGGCCTTTAAATGCTCTCATCGTAGCTCCGGTCTGCAGCGCTGACTGGACGTTTTCATGTAGACGAGGTGTGACTGTGGGCAGACAGGGAGAGACTGGCCCTTCTAATCGAGGCCCGCTCGTTACTGCTGTTTGAAATGCAGATGTGCGCTCGGCTTTTTTTTCCCCCTTCGTTCCGAGGTTTTAAGTGATGTGAGCGATCGGATCGGTCGGACAGATGGAAAAGGACTTGGCCATTACCCGGCCGCTGGGTGGTCGCGGGCCTGGATCAGCTCTGCTCTACTTCACACGGAGGGCCCGGCTGTAACCGGGTGCAGGGCTTTGCCTCCAATTTGCTGCTTTTAAAGTAATCGAAAGAAGAAAAAAGACTCACCGAAAGGGCCTACAGGACATCTGAGAGAACTAAAGAGGCATTTCTGTTGCCACGACTGAGACTTTGAACTGGGAGCTGCAGTGTTTGGGCCCATGGGAACGTATGAGGAGCAGGTTCTCATTAAATCCATACGTTGGTGTGTGCTACTGACTCGTGATCGTCTTTATTCTGAGAGCAGCTGCTGCCAAGATGTGAGAACTATCACTTCCAGTGGACGTCACTGCGCATGTGAAAGGTGTTGCTGCATGTTTTTGCCACCATGCAGAAGCCCAGGAGGAAGAGTCTATAGTTTTTCTCTTGATGAAATCTTGAGAGTGTTGCAGTGGAGATTTGGGCTTTGTGTGCAAAGCAAACAATCAGGAACCCCAGCAATAAAAAAGCAGACGGAAATATAATCCTTCTCCAATAAGAATGCCAAATGATTTTTTCTGCTATGGAAGCTGATCCATCTCCCAGGACGTGAAAAACAGTCAAATGGGATTTGGGAGCTTTAACTTTGAAGTTTTTCTACAGTCAGAAATGACTCCTTTTGGGTTACAGATTTTGGGTTTTCCTCCTTGTTTTTGATGAGCTCAGAGGCTCCTCACCTGAACCCGCTCTGCCCAGCCTCTCTGCACTCAATATCAATATTACCCAAAAAGAGTTTATATAAAATTCTCTGTGCGGGCTTTTTGACTCCATGAAGTTCCTTCAAAGAAGTTAGAAAAGTGGACTTGAAAATAGTTTTTCTTCCATAAAGTACTTTTTGTGACTGGGTTGATCAAACAAATTTGCAGCATGTGATGCTTTCTTGAGGATTAAAGCTGATTTCAAAAGTAACAATCCACAGTATATGTTGCTAGGCTAATGACACATTTCACAGCCGTCCTGGTAGGATTGCATCTGGTAAATCATCTCTGTGCTTTTTCTTCCACAGTTATTGAATGTGTACTTTCAGCTTCAGAAACAACTGTAGACGTAATTGGGGGGGCTGCCAGTCATCGTGAGACCTGCTTTGTGGGTAAACTACACCTAAGTTTGGCTTCTTGGAGCTTCTCATTTTGTAAACTTAGAATTTTTTAACAATATTTGCCCTCATGTCATGAGTGGCTTTGCTCTTTCTGCTGAGAAACGGGGCGGTTTCCTCACTCAAGTAGATCAATAAGAAAACAGACATTTAAAATGTCAAGTGTCTCTATCTATCTATCTATCTATCTATCTATCTATCTATCTATCTATCTATCTATCTGTCTGTCCGTCTATCCAACAAAGACCAAAGCGATCCTGTCTTTTTCCATCTAGAAACATTGATTTGTGCCCAGCAGGGTGGTGAACAGCCTCCTCTCTCTGAAATGGGAAACAGGGTTTAACTTTGGGCTAATCTGGAAATCAAAGGAAAACTGTTCAAACTGCACTCACCCTTTTAAATTAAGATCAAATGCGTCTTATCCCGTCTGCGGCTTCTCGTGCCGTCTTTGTGTTCCCGGATTTGTTTTTTGTGTCTTTGTAGAGTTCTGTGTCACGTTATCTTTTTCGCAGCCTTCAGAATGCTTGTGTGAGTCGCATGTCAGATAGATTTGTAGATTTAAAGAATTGAAAAGCCCGTCTGTGTGCTTTGTGGTTTGATTTTCAGGGTCAAGGACGTTAGTTTGTTGGTTTGTTTGTTTGTTTGTTTCTTTGAAGGTCACAGCCAGGCTTCATCATCATCACATTTTCTCGTGCAAACACCGAACAGGGGCTCTGAATATCAGCTCTGAAATTCTCCTGACGTCCATCAGCTGTAAAGGTCCAGGTCAGACGCACTCACACACATCCACTGGCCTCTCCCTGTCCCCTGCCTGGTTGCCTTGGAGACAGCTGAGATGGGGACCCCATCTCATTACACGCCAATAGGGCTGTGTGAGCGGCTTAAGGTGGATGTGCGGGATCCCGTTCGCCATCTAGCGGCCAGAACACAGAACTGCACCCGTGTAAACCGATATTCTGCCTGGTAACCCAATGTGCTGACTTTTCCTGATCTTCCTCTCCAGCCCTGAATATCTAATGAGATACACCTAACATAGGACATTAGTTTGACTTTAGTCAGTGAGTTGAATTGATCAGGACCTGCTCCAAACCCAGAGCTCGTTTTTTAGTCACTGTTACGCGAAAATACTTCACATCTACCCTCTTATGGAGAGTTGGGTGGAGATAAACATGGTTGTTTGTGCTTGAGATAAATATTATTGTTTGTGCTCATACTTCTCCATTTTAGATGTTTGCATTTAAAGGGTATGATTGATTTAGCCAAAAAATGGGCTGTATGTGACGAATTAATCGACCCTGTTTCTGAAACATGTGTTGCATTCAGACCACCATCTTTCAATGTGATGGCTGCTAGTTTGAGCCCCAGCTTCTCCAGCGTGCAAGATAAAAGCATCCGTAGGCTAAACAAAGTGTTCCTTTTGTAGTTTCTGTGGATAAAAGCACCTGTTAAATGACTATAAAGTCGATAAAGCATAAACAGAACTGTAAAATTTCTATTTTTGCTTTCCTTTCCATTTCGCTGACTGGTCAAATGCAGCTGAGGAGCCACGCGTTCACTGACACTGGGGCTGACCACGGTATGCTAATGCTATGCGTCTCTCTATCGAGACTGCCTTTCAAAAATTCATGGTCATAAAAAGGCTTCCTCTGTTTCACTTGTATAACAGCATGCAGCTAAATTTAGCTTCTGATTTGGTGATGGCTGACTGCTTAAAAAAAAAAAGATGTCTGCCAGCTATGTCAGAAAACAATTTAAAGATATTTTATTCTTCTTGAGATGGGGGACAAATGCAAACATGAAAAATAGCAAACACATTTTGGAAGAAAGCAGTCCTGATGTTATACCCTTTGAACAGAATATTCTCCTGGTGTATGCAACATGTTACCAAAGAACCAGCAACGTTGCTTCTGGTGCCTGGGATTTAAGCTTTGCCCATTTATATTTCTGAGCAATGAAAAACTGAAAAATGGAAACAACATTCTCTCTGAAAAGAGAGCACCTAATTGCACCATCGGGGTCCAGGAGACTCGTCTCTGGGGTGGAACCCTCAAATATCCTGCTGTTCTTCCCAAGTAATTTGTCCACTATTGGGGAACATAAACAGGTTTCTAAAAGTACAAATATGTGCCTTGGAGTGCCATTTTTAGCCAAATAAGGCACGTAATTGTACTTCATTAAACATGAATAGACTCCTATTGTGCTCCAAGTTTTTTTGACAATATGGGATAATATGTATCTCATCAGTCAATGTTTATTAATCCATTGACGGTTAAATTGTTATCTCCTTTTGTAGGTTCTTAGTAAATAAGAGCAAAGCACTTAAAAACCAATAACAGAATACTTACAATGAATTTTGATTGATTTAAGTTTAGTCTTTGCACAATGTTCAGCATAAAATGAGACTTTGAACAAATGTTGATGGCCCCCATAATACAGCTACAAAATTACTTTTTGTGACGGTAATGGAACGAGTTTGCAGAGAGCAAATATTCTGAAATGTTGAAGTGTTTGATTAAATATAAAAACTAGAAGACTCGCACAGCATTTCCATGTTGATGGAGGTACAGTTTATTTGAACTGCTTTATGCAGTGTTAATAAAACATAATATCATACATTATATATAGAATGGAATAATCATAGGCTTTATTATTATAAACTATTTAGACTTTGGGTTCAATTTAAAATAGGCTTTTAAATAATGAAAATGTACAACTGCCCACATAAAGTAAAAGTTCTTATCTTCTGGGGGGACCAGAAATCTTACATAAAAGAACACTTCAGTCATTAAACTTTTAGTTTTCACTGTAAACACTGAAATAAAAAGGGGGAACTTGGAGAAAGATATTCAACATTTTGTTTTTAGTGTAAAAACACATTTTTTTCAGATGCATCCATTCCTTAATTCTCTCAAAGTATTCCCAGAACCACAAAACAATCAGACGCCAGCGCTTTGGAATATATCATACTTTATTCTGTCTAATCGGTGTGTGATTTTAAATTTGAAAAACACCCAGTAAAAATGACCACACAGCAGCAGAAGCAGGACTCTGGGCCTAACTGAGCGGGACGCCGTTGTGCTTTTGGTTTTCTATCTGGCCGGGGTACACGGAGGAGAGACAACCTTTGTGCTACAGCCTCTAAACGTGACACAACAGTCCTCAAACGTCCTACCTTACATTAAAGTTTGGAGTGGAACAAGGAAAGTGAGCTCTGCTGTGAGTGTTGATAGTATTGAGTAACTCCTGAAGACTAAGTCGTCACGAGGCGACTGCCCTAAAGAAAGGAAACCAGCACTGATCTTCACAAATCCTCTTAAAATTTTGGCCACAAAAATAGTAATCTACACGTTTTCTGAGCACCAAAATATAGTTGGTAGCCAAATAAAGAGCAGGCTTATAATCTATGAGCTGGTGTAGCTTTGCCCCCCCCCGCCTTGCTGATGGTTCTGTTGCGCCTTATTAATTTATAGTAGAGTGCAGGTGGAATTAAAGCATCTAAATAAACTGGTCCTATTGAAATGCGATTAATCCTGGGCCTGTCCATCTTGATGAGTCCCCGTTTTCTGTCACACTGTGCTGCCCAATTTTCTGCCGCCCGGCCCACCTGAAGCATAGTATCGTGGTTTTAAAGGAGATATAGGCAAAGGTGATTGGAGCTAACACAAAAATCAAAAGGGCTGTAGTACGCATACAGTACACTTGTAAACAAAGAGGAACATACAAAGAAAAGACAAAATATTAATAAACTATCTTTTTCCATATGGCAACATGGGGTTTGGCGTCTACTGTGGAGCTAATGGGACTACTCAGCTGCCTTTAAAGAAAAGGACTTTAACGTCTAACCGGGGTGTCTCTGAGGGTCTCTGTTTACATTCTCTGTTCTAGGCCTCTGTTTCTGATTGATCGGTGGCAACGCTGCCGTTCAGCTCGCCCAGTCCAGACTGCTCCTGGATGTCGGTCATCTCTCCCACGGTGAACTTGGCCTCCCCCGCCTTGCTGTCGGCCGTGCCGCTCTCGGGCTGCTTGCCGGCCGGGTTGGTCAGGGTGGGCTCCTCGTCCAGTCGGCTGGAGATGGACCAGTAAAGGTGAGCGTCCAGTCGGGCCGCGGCCACCGAGAGATCCCGCGCCGAGCAGGAGGGCGTGCCCACCTGGGAGAGGAGAAGAATGCGTTACAAAGACCCTATTTACTGTTTGGTAGATGGTTTCCACAAATGTTGGCACACCTTAATTGAATATCATATTCAACCTCAAACCTGAGAAATCTACAGGACTGTCTCAGAAAATTAGAATATTGTGATAAAGTTCTTTATTTCCTGTAATGCAATTAAAAAACATGCAATGTCATACATTCTGGATTCATTACAAATCAACTGATATATCGCAAGCCTTTTATTGTTTTAATATCGCTGATTATGCCTTACAGCTTAAGAAACCCAAATATCCTATCTCAAAATATTAGAATATCGGATTTTTGAGTTTTCTAAAGCTGTGCGCCATAATCAGCTATATTAAAACAATAAAAGGCTTGCGATATTTCAGTTGATTTGTAATGAATCCAGAATGTATGACATTTCATGATTTTTAATTGCATTACAGAAAATAAAGAACTTTACCACCATATTCTAATTTTCTGAGACAGTCCTGTATATAGTGCTTAATTTTGTGCCTAAATTCTTGTGTTGTGTTTCTGTTGTCTGGATTCAGCGTTCCTCTGCGTTTCATTTGAATGGTTTTAGGATTTATTCTGTGTGTATTTATCTATTCTTCAGTCCCGTTTATGTTTTTGCCTGCGTCTTTTGCTTGGGCCGGTGGTCTGGTCCTGTTTAAGCTCTCTCAGATCAGCAGGTCCACACCCACATCCAGCCCTGTGTTCAATCTCCTCAGCCGCATCCGTTCCCGCCGTGTTTCAGTTCCCCAGGTCCTGGCTGCTCATGTTTCTAGTCATTGTCAGCTTTTGTTTGTCCTTTGGTTTCGTTATTTCACAGCTGTTTGGTTTATGGAGTTTCCGGCCCAGCTGAACTTTTTGTTACAGTTTCAATAAATCCAGTCCAGGTTTCCTTTTGCCTCCTGTCATCATCCATGTCTGCGTTTTGGTGCTTTTCTCCCCCTCCCCGACACCCTCCCTGACAAAACTGGGATAATCAGCAGCACGTGAGCACAAGAGGAAGTCCTTCAGAACTAAAGACTGAGAGCAGATGCAAATTGTTTAGCAGTTTTTTTTCAACATTCTGAATAATTTTGCACAAGCCTGTGACCGATTTTCCAACTTCAGAGCAGCCTAAATTGACCTAAATAATAATATTTGGTTTAAGTTTGAATTATTTATTTTCCAGGGTGTTTACTCCCAAAATCAGTGCAATATCACACGAAAATACATAAATGCTATGATGCCTACATTTCCCAGCATGCCTTTCGGCAGCCTGAAGAGAATGTGAGATATCCGTGGGTTGGCTGCATGTGTAGGTGGAGACAGGAATAGGGATTACAGAGGAGCTGTTCCAGTTCTTTTTTCTCATAAATCATTCGGGCATTTTGTCTGCTGCCGGTGGAAGAGTCCTGACTCCCGCCTCTGTCCCCCCCAAAAAAATTCAGACGTGCATTTTGAAAACCTTGAGTCTTTTTCATAATAATCTAATAGGTCACTCTGAGCTCAGAGATTGAGTAAAAATAGCAGCAAACTGACCCCCAAAAAGGCAACTTACTGTGCACGGTTCAGAGATGTATATTTGAAATTTTATCCCGTCGAATTTGACCACATCAGCTGCGAGGAACATTACCTCAAAGGTGTGATGAAAGGCTCCGTAGTCGATGTCGAAGAAGCCCTCGGCCAGCAGCATCATGGGGCTGAACCGGTGGCCCCACAGCACCTCCTCCGCCAGGTAGGAGCTCCGGGCCTGGCACGTCATCCCTGCACGCCCCAAAAAAAGCCGTCAGCCCCTTCTGACAAACACCAGCGAAACCTGCCTGTTAACGGAGAGCTGAGGAGGCAGACACTGATTTACCCACACAGGGAAGCTGTGACTGAATGAGGAGCCTCTGCGGCAGAGTTATGGCCGTCAGCTACCTTCTTTGTAACGCAGCACTCTGACAAAGGGATCGATATTTAGGGGTAGGCGGAGAAGCCACCTTTACCTCTTAGGGATGCATCATGAATAGATGCGATCCACTGGACGCTTGCCAGGCAGTGTTAGAGCAGTTAAGCACATCATCCCCTCAGAAGGAACTTGACATCAGGCCGTTTCGGGAGCAGGATAAAGAAAAAAGAAGCGACCACCAGGTCATTGTACAGCTAAATGGACACTGGTTCCTTCCAGGCATCTGTTTGATTTGTGCGTTCAAAGTGACGGAGTTAAAAGTAAATGCAGCAGCCGCAACCTGACAGACAAATGTGAGTGGAAAAAGGATAAGTATTTGATGTCTGGGGAGGTCTGGGAGAAAAGATATGTTGAGCTCCTGTGACAGATTTCCCTCCTCAGCTTCACTGCTCATCCTAACGGGGACAAATGAGGATTGAAAAAGCAGATTTTCTGAGCAGCAAAGCGCATTTCTCACATATTTGGGTTTCTGAATTCATGACAAACTGCCACGAAGGCTAAAAAATATCTTCTTTAGTGAGCTGTTTGGGTTATCTGTGGATGTTTACGTCACTTCTTTAAGTGTTAGTTTAAACTTAATGCTGCATTCACTGCTCCTTAAAGAGCCACATTTATTTTAACCTTACATTTCTGGTGTTCAGAAATCTGAATATTACTTTGTATTCCAAATATCTTTACATCCCTTTTGCCCATTATTAGCTTCCTAATTGTCTACAGCATGCTCTGTGGCTCTAGAGTTTCAAAGAAAAAACTGTGTCCAAAAAAGGAGATCCTGCAGAGGAGATGGGTGGAGTGGAGGAAAGAAAAGTCTCTGCTCCTATTCTACGATTTCTATTGAAGATGAGCTGCTGTGGCTTTGTGAAGAAAGAACAACATTATGGGATGTATTTAAGGGGTAAGGACAAATGACTAATATGGTCACGGCAACAGGAGGACTTATGGGGACAAATGTCAGGTCTTCTCTTGTCTCCTTTTTGGTTTTTGCTGATTTCCCTTATATAAATAAGAGGGGGGGGATTGGGGGGGGATTGATTCAGCTTTAAGATAGCACTGAATTGTAAGCAGGAACAGCTTAAAAACAACTCCCATTTTATACTTTTGAAGTGATTTATGAAGACTAAGTGATCACAGTCGCTTTGAGAATCACTCAAAGGGTAGATGAGTTTCTTATTTTACTCCCTACTATCAAACAATCTAATGGATATTTTACTGTATGCATATTTCTACACAATCAAAACACAGCTTCCTGAAAGATTGAGAGGAAAAAAAAGAAGCTCTTAAACCAGGAACGAGCCAAACGGAGACATCCTGCAAGAGGGATTTCATTTCCTAATGGACCATTTTAAAGGGCCTACTTTCTGTATAACAGTGATGACATTCGTGTAATATCAAGCCTTTGCATGCATCAGCAAGATTAATCTGCTAATGCATATTTCTACTTGCTGTAGCAAAAGATGCATTTGCCATATACAAGGTGCTGGAACTTGACAGTCAAGTTAAACTGCAGTGAATTATTCCCCACACAGTATACCTCCTACAATGAATTATACAGAGCCACTAAATATAAGAATATTGCTGGTTGTATTATCTGCTTTCACATCAACTTTAATAATCTATAAATCAAAATGGTGATAATGTAGTAGAAGTACATCCTGCACATGCAGCACATTGTTGCTGCGTTATCATTTCATCTGCTTAAAATCCTTTTAGGAAATTTCAGACTCATTGTTTTCGCATCTTGTATTAAACCGCCAAACACAATAGGGTCTCGATAGCTTTACATTTGCTGCCTGAGCCCTTTTCAATGGTTCTTGACCCGTGACTCACCAGTGGCCTCCACCATTCCCTCCAGAATGACCACGATCTCGAAGTCCTCCTTCTCCAGCTGGGATTGCGACATGTCCCAAAAGGGCGAATTCGCATCGATCTCATGGGAGATCACCAAAGGAGAGACCAGGAAGAGCCGGTCATCGCCCGTCTCAAAGCCCACGCTTATATCAGTCTGGTCCAGAGGGATGAACTCGCCTGGGGAGGGGGGACAATAAAACCTGAGGTGAGGAGAGGCCATCCCAGAACTCTGACCTGCATTCTCCACCTCACAATGAAAAAGCGGAATGGGGTGGTGGAGTCCTACCCTCCTGGGTTTGCTTGGACTTGATGAGCTTGGCCCTCATGTTGGCCCCCACGATGTGGGAGCTGCGAAGGTCTCCCACCCGGAACATCAGACAGAGCTTGTCGTCTCTCAGGGAGATGACGGCGTGCTTGGAGAACACCAGGGTCTCGGCTCGTTTGTTGGGCTGCGAGATCTTCACGAACATGCAGCCCACCTGCGGAAAGGGGGAGGGGCCAGGAAGCAAACGGCGACCCGGAGCCCAGAATAAGATGCAGCGGAGGATATCTGAGTCTGCAAGGAGTGGAGGATCATCTAAAAATAATCCTCAACTCTTGCTATTCATTGACTATGATTAGCGCGTCAGCTAAATAGCTGAATAATATTCCTGCAGCCTGGAAAATATTCATTGTGGCTGCTGAATACAAACTATCAGGCTCCGCTCTCAATAGAGCTATTTCCAGCTCTCTGTGTTTAAAGGAGCAGTGACACCTGATTAACCTCCGACTGATACATTTCTAGTTAGAGCAGCGAAACATCCCACGTGTCCATCAGATGATAACATGGCACGTTTCCAGCTCGCAAACATGCATAAAAGATGATTCTGGCCTTGCAAGGATGTCTTGTAATCTGAAGCATTTGTTCTCTCTTGACTGCGTTTTTGTGTCCAACAGGTAAGAAAATAATTGTGTTTTTTAAGGAAATGGCCTGGAATGCCATTACAAATCACTTTTGAGAGTCAGCTCTCGCTTCAGCTCTCTGCTCACCATGAAGGCGTTCACCATTGATCCCAGTATGGCTTGAAGCAGCAGCAGCATGGTGCCCACTGGACACTGGTCGGTGATGACCCGGTGGCCGTAGCCAATCGTGGTCTCCGTCTCGATGGAGAAGAGGAAGGCCGAGACGAAGCCGTTGACATTGTTTACGCACGGCGTCCAGGTCTCATCCTCCAGATGGTCCAGATCACCTCTTGAGAAGGAAAAAGGAGAAGAACGTGTAAGAAACCGAAGAGTGGTGGTGACTCAGTGGGTGTCAAAAGAGGATAGGAAAAAAAAAATCACACAGAATGTGAGAGGAATTGTATTTTTAGACTTCATGTGCAGAAATATATACATGCAGACACATCTCTCCCTGTAGATGTTCCTCCACTTTCCAGCTCCTTTCATTAATGAACGGGGGTCGTTCTGTTAGTCAGCCTGAAACTCTTACTCACCTGACATTTACGCTGCAACTCATCACATCCTCCCAGTGTATCATGTCAATATTTCAGTTTCCTTTCAAACGCACGCCGAGGTCTTAATGCTCCTTTTTTATCATCGCTGCTGCTTAATGAAAGTGCTGTTCGGTAATTCGTGTAATCTATGACTTTATTGACCCGTGTAGGTGACAAAGGAAGTAAAGCAACAGTGAACGATCTCCAGCAGCACGTTTCAGGATGTCCGGCAACTGATTTAGGAATTTCACAAGAAGACCACGTTAAGTAAATTGATCCAAAAGTGATGAAACACACTGTAATAGCAGCACTGCTGGCTCATCTGATTTTTCCACTTCGCTAGCTCTCAAAGCAGCAACGTCTGACACCGTGGTGCCGCATTGTGAAAAGTGATTGCTCGAGATTTAAGGAAGTAGGATCATCATCACTTTCTTGCCAAGAGCTTGATGAAAAGATCGATACCACGGTTATATTATGATGCCGCACACAGCAGACGCTTCGTTTATCTTTTCAAGACAACAGGAACTGAAAGCCTGACTCACAATGAAAAATGATCTGATCTCCAAAGCTCACGGTGAACGGGTCGGCTGTTGATGTCTGCTCGCATCAGGGTTTGAATGTGTGAATCAAGACTAAACTAACCCCGGTCTATTAAAGCACCTATTTCTGCTCTTAGGTCGCGACAGTGGGCCGGTTCCCTCAAAGGTCCTGCTGTTGAACACCTGCTGTTTCTCTGTTTACTTCTTGGGAACATAAATTAGTCTTTCAGGGCCTCTACAAGTATAAATATGTTATTTGGGGTTCAGTTATTAGCCATTTAGGGGACATACGTCTAAAAAGTACATCAGGAGATATGAATGTACTTTGATTAGGCCCCTTTTTGTCAATTTGAGTTATTATTTTCTAGGAAGTAAAACTTTAGAAAAACCTTTGTTGTAATTTGGTGCAAAACCAAAGAAAACTGAGGTTAAAAAGGCCTAAATGCTTCCCTATTTACTCCTATCTACACAGTAACTCTTCTCTAAGTTGAATGCCAATGGGTAACACGGTCTTAGCTCTGTGTGCTTGGTTCTCTTTATTCCGTGGGGAGGGTTTCAAGAACTGTTTTGCTGCCGTCTTTCCCGGTCTGTTTTACCTGGAAGCTGCTTTGCTGTGTCTCAACTGACCGATCCCTTCTCAGAGTACACTCTTTTCCATGATACATCCAGCCTCACTGTGTGTTTCTGCCCTTATGACGCAGAGCCACCACTCCAAAGAAAAGCCTTGGAGAGTTTCATCGAGTAACTCAGCAAGGACAGGAAGGGGAAACTCCTCAGGATGAAAACTTGTTGCCTTCCTCCCTGTTAATTAACGCTTCCCGTGTTTTGATGTGTCAGTAAGGATAAACAAGCAGGAGATTCAGAATGCCTAGTAAGACAGAAGATTAGTGATTTCGTGGCTTGAGGGGATTATCGTTCAATCCAATCACACCTTCTGTTATTGACATCCGTAAGAGGTGTTCAGTCCCACCGAAAAGCCGTAGCTCAGGCCTTAATGGCCACTAATCTCGTTGCCTTTTCTCCCGAACCTTACCTGCAGTAGGCTATGAGGTACCAGATGGCGCCGAAGAAGAGCCACGTGACGGCGTAGGCCATGACGAAGACGAAGAGCGAGCAGCGCCAGTTGAGGTCCACCAGCGTGGTGAAGATGTCGGTCAGGTAGCGGTAGGTCTCCCGCATGTTGCCGTGCTGGACGTTGCAGCGGCCGTTCTTCTCCACGTAGCGCTGCCTCTTACGCCGAGCCCGGGCTGGCGGGGAGAGGTGGGGGGGGGGGGGGGACAAATGTGGGAGGCAGCGTTATGATGATGGATGAGACAGGTGGGCCGGTTAAAAACACGTGAAGAGCTGTCTAATGGAGCGTCTCTGTAACTTTCATTTGACATTTTAAACATTTTTTGGGCTCTTGGCTGTTTCATCACCCCAGCACAGAGGAACCCTTTCAAAAACACTTAACAAGAGTTTCCATGAGCTGCCTTTGTGGAAAGATGTGGGGGGAAAAGAAACCAAAAAACTGCTGTTTGAAGCTCGGGCCCTGACAGCTAAGAACGCAGGACAGGCTGATGAATGGAGGAGAAACTAAATGAGGGGCCCGGAGCTCAGAGAGGCCAGGAGCGAAAAACAGCCAGAGCAGATTAAATGTGACAAGATAAAGTCATCAAACACTCAAAGAAGATACGATACCGCGGAGGACACAGCAGAGGATTTTTTGTTGTTTTTCAGGAGTGTTTGATGTGAGAGGGAGCCGCCAGACACGGACCAGACAGAAACCTGCTGTTTTTGTGGGTTTTTTTTGTTTGTTCTGTGACTCAAACTGATGACACTGAATGTGAATAATGTCGTTTTATGAGAGATTTATCTCCACCTGTTGATTATTTGCCAAGTCATGGCAATTTACATATGTATAAAAACTGGTTAAAGAAAGATTCACAAGCTATTTGGCAGCATCACAACTCAAATTAAGGCTCGGCATAGAGCCTTGATCAATCAAGAACTCTTTCCTTTTACCAAGAAGAGTCACCATCCTGAAATGGAGGACAGGAAGTGAGACTCACTCACCCCACCCGAACCGTCCGCGCTCCTTCTCCGTCCCCTGAGGCTTCTTCCGGGGCTGATTGGCTGTGGCCTCCCGCTCGGCCAGCTTGGCCTGGAATGACCTCTTGACCTTAACCGGGGTGGGAGGGGAAGGATCCGTCTCCGTGGTGACGACGTGGCCCAGCTCCTCCGATAGGTTGAAGACGCCGGTGGACGCGGTGGCCTCGGTGGCCACCTCCACGTCCTCCCCCTCCCCCTTCTCCTCCACAGGCAGGGCCAGGGAGTCCGGACGGGAGGGGAATACAGAGTTTTCCAGTGCCATGGCCCGCGTGTGCCCGTGTACGTGTGAAGCGCCTTAAAAGTGGTATTGATATCCTCCCTATGGTAGACTATGTCCAGCGGCTATTGATCGGACCATTTGTTTGCTTGACTGAAGCCTGGAATAAAGGAGGAGAGCACAGGGATCAAGTTAAATCACGGAATTGATTTGCTGTTCCCACCGCCTAATGATTTTCTGAACATAAATGCTTAAGGAAAATGACATTGCGTAAGTTTCTTTAAAGAGATTTGCAAACAGTAACACTGATGTGCTTTAGCTGGCCACTCAAAAGAATTTCCGCCCATCTGATTGATAAATGGACTTTAAAAAAAACAGGAAAAAATCTTTGCATTTGAGGATTTTCTTGCAGAGTTGCACAAAATACACAGGCGGAATAAATGTCTGCTATTTTTTTTAGAGCGCAGCTGGGCATTTGCATGTCATTGCCACTTTATTCAAGGTGGTTTCACACAACACCTTAGGTTTGCTGTGTGTATGCGTTGTGTATGTGTGTGTGTGTGTTGTGTAAGTGCACTTTCTGCTATTTTAGATGGGAATCTAAACTATAGGCCTGCTGAGATTTCTTACATAAGTCCCACAGAGGATAGAGAGTTACATCTGCACGGTGAGGCATGTGTCTGACATATTTGCACAGTAAAATGGAGTCGTGGTCCTCAACAAGCTCTGGATGTTGTGCGTCAATTTGGGGAACAGGCGGATGGACGCTAGAGGAGACTGACAGTGGCAATCAAGATGACGCACTAGGTCTGATGGATGGATCAGAAATAGCCTCAGTAAAAGGGTCTCTGCGTGTCTGCCAGCAGACTGCCTAAACCAAACGAATAAAGCTCGTTCAATAAAGCCAAGACAGCGAAGAGAGAACAAAACCCTACCTGCTCAGTGTCGGACCTTGTAGATGTTTAAGACCTGGATCCTGCCGATGTCTTATCATAAGGAAAACGAATATCAGGTCCGAGAGGGAGCCGGAATGGGCGACCTTGGTGCGATGACACCCATTTCTGGTGTTTACCAGCGACGCCGCATCAGCCCACTCCTGCTCGCGTTTGCCAGGAGAGCAGAAAAAAAAAAAAAAAAAAAAAAAGCACCTCGAGCCGATCAGTCAATGATCGCAATACATACAAATCCAAATCCCACGGACCATCCGCTTAATAGTCAGGTTTAAAAGCGAAACGAGCATCTCAGGTAAGGCGATTACGCAGAGGCGTCTGGAGAACATGTGTCAGGAAAAGCGAAATGGTGGCAGCAGGATAACCCGGCAGCGCGCCGAGCTCCATCCTACGTGGGTCTGATGGAGTCGGTCAGGTGTGGAGCGGAGTGGAGTGGAGTGGAGCCTCCGGGCGGCGGAGGATGCTGTCGTCAGTACGGCCCCCCTGTCAGCTGCGCCCGGCCTCAGACGCTCCTCATTTCCACAACAGAGGGGGACGGACGTCGTCTCCCTGCAGGCTGTCGACAGCCCCAGCCTCCGAAGAGTTCACACGGGAGGAAACACGAAGGCCCACTGTGGTGCGCTTCACCCGTTCATGCGAACAGCCCACGTTCAATGTGTGATCAAAATCAGAATTACTTTATTTATCCCTTGCAGGGAATTCTTTTTTTGTTGTTTTGTTTTTTTGCAGTGGACCCGTTTACGGAAGAAAAAAGTAAAAAAAATGTACAATAAAAAAAATAAAGACGATTAAATATCTTGTTTTTAGCATTGCACATGAAGATTATGCTTATTAAAAAAGCTGTTAAATCTTAAGACTTGACAAAGGCACCAATAAATAGCGTTCATTTAGTATGTTATCAGCCTCTGTTAATGGGGCACCTGCCGCAAAGCGTCCACACCCAGGCAGGCCTTTGTATTATCAATTGTATCAATGACTTGATTATAATTAGCATTAAACGCATTGCCTGCTGCCGTTCGGCCGCCGGCCTCCAGGGGGCGCTGAGCTAAATGTGTTGACCGGAGGCGGTGCGTCGCTCTCTTTCTCCAAGATGTCGGTGTACGGGCCAGTGGTGAAAATTCACCCCGTTGTTCTCGCATCTATCAGCGACTCATACGAGCGAAGGAATGAGGGCGCGAGTCGAGTAATTGGGACCCTTTTGGGTAGGTGGAAACCCGATATGTCTGTCCTTTGGCAGTTTAACGAATATTGTGTGGGTAAAGGGGGTGTTAGCATATAGCCGGCTTTAGCTTTCCTCCTAAACGCATGTTGGTTCAGCACTGCCCAGAGGCTAAGCTACATCTGGCTAGCAATAGCCACCCAAACTGCTAGCATCATCAGCTGTTACAGCGGTTTCAGTTTTAACAGAAAGCTGGAGCAAACCGTTCAACGTTTTCTAACGAGTTTGTTACTTTTTTTTACTCTGAGAAGTAACGATTGCGCTAATGATCGTGGTTATTTGCTGATAATGAAAATTTAAACTGCCTAATTAGTTAGCTGATGCTAGGGCCAATAGCTCAACACCAGCTAATTTTAACGTTTTTCGCCCTCAGGTACTATCGATAAACACTCTATCGAGGTGACCAACTGCTTCTCTGTCCCTCACAATGAGTCTGAGGATGAGGTAAGGTGTTCAACGCATTCACTTCCAGTGTTATTTCAAGCATCACTTTCAAGCATAATTTGATAACAGCATATTCATCACACTTTGGAAGATTATTGCCTTGTAACTCGTGCCTTAAACACAGTAAATAGTTATGTGATGAAATAACATGGCAACCAACTTGTAGTTGGGCTGAAATAGGCAGATTGGTAGCAAACATGACCACAACAACCATGTTATCTGGAAAAATGTGTGAAGGATTAAAGCTCCAATGTAATAAACTTTGATGTTATTAAACTTGGAGCCTGGCAGAAGATGCTGGTGTTTCTCTGTCAGTTAGATGTAACATCTGGATGCTTTTAAGATGTTGGGCATGCAGGATTATCAATTCTATAAAAATGGGAGAGTTTCAGTGGAAACATCAGTGGAGACCATGTTTTAAATCTTTGATTTCCTCCCACAGGTTGCGGTGGACATGGAGTTCGCCAAGAACATGTACGAGCTTCACAAGAGGGTGTCTCCCACAGAGGTCATCATCGGGTGGTGCGTCAGTTTTTCTAGATGCGCAATTTCAAGGATTGGAGACGAAAGCCTCATTTTTAAAAGAATGACTCCTTTGCCTGCAGGTATGCCACCGGCTTTGACATCACCGAGCACTCTGTGCTCATCCATGAGTACTACAGCCGTGAGGCCACTAACCCCATCCACCTGACCGTGGACACCGCACTGCAGAGCGGCAAGATGAACATCCGCGCCTACGTCAGGTCGGCTCGCCTTTGTGTGCCATACTGCGAAACTTCTCACTTAATCTGAATTTTTTTCTTTCATTTGTTCATGTAAAAGCAACAGTGAACAGACCAGATTTAGCCGTTGGGCTGATTTGATTCTGGGAATGTGTGTGTCTTCCACACAGTGCACAGATGGGCGTGCCGGGGAGGACGGTTGGTGTCATGTTCACCCCGCTGTCCGTCAAGTACATCTACTACGACACGGAGAGGATCGGAGGTAAGACGGCAAAGAAGCAAGAAGTCGACCGCAAGAAAACAAAGAACTGCAATTTCATTAATTGAAAGAAGATCCAATATTTGGGCCTTAAATGCCTGTCAGTGGAAATGAAGCTGCACGATGCATGTTCTGTGTTTCAGTGGACCTGCTGCAGAGGACCCGCGCAGCTCCCAGCCGCACCAAAGGGCTGACCTCTGACCTGTCTCAGGTGGGCGGAGCTGCATCCAGGGTGCAGGACATGCTCACCACCGTGCTGGCTTACATCGAAGATGTGCTGGTGAGTGGAGAAAAAAAACAAACAAGATTGATTTGTGTTTGATACTCCTCTCACAATGTCTTACAAACAGTTGGGTTGAACATCAGTGTTTCACATCCAGATAATTACAGAGTGGTCAGTGTGCTCTGCTTCAGTGTTTGCTGAGAGCCCAGACAGATCTCAGACAAAGTGGGATTGATTTAGTTTGGGTCGCACTGCTGAGACAGGAGAGAACAAGTTCAAACTGCTGATAACGAGGGACAGGAGATACCATACGGCCCTCCTTCACCAGAGTGTGATAGTGTTTTCATTTTAAAAGTTCTGATCGTTTTGGGGCTATTTAATTGAGGATTTCTGAAGAATTGGGTGAACAGCAACGGAAAATCCGATTTGGAAGTTACATAAATAATTACTTTAGATTAGTGGATTAAGTTTTCTTTTCTTGCAAAGAAGAACAGTGGAATTTAGAAACTTTAGTGAATGATCTCTGATTTAACTTTATTTCCAGCTGAAATCTAAACTACTACCTTAATGCTACTTTTAGATCTAAAGATCTAAGACACCCAAATCTCTTCTAAATTCAGTTTTTGCTGACCTGAGAGGATTAATCCTGAAAGACTGCTCTCCCCGTGTCAGTAAACTATTAGCACAGTCAGACTTCCAAAGCGACTGAACAGTTCGGCCTCTCAAACGCTTGCTTGTGCGTTTGCTGTGAGCCGGTCGCTGACAGGAGCTTTGTCATCGATCTGTTTCAGTCTGGAAAGGTAACGGCGGATAACAGCGTGGGCCGCTTCCTCACTGACCTGGTCAACAAGGTGCCGACCATCTCAGCCGAGGACTTTGAGAACATGCTCAACTCGAACATCAACGTAAGTCTTCCCTCAAAAAGAGCAGCTTTACCGCTGTGTTACCCTGGGTTCAGCCCCCATAGAGACGCGTACTCTGTTTTGTTGTTGCAGGATCTGTTGATGGTGACCTACCTGTCCAACCTGACCCAAGCACAGATTGCTCTAAATGAGAAGCTGGTGCTGCTCTGAGGGGATTTCTTTAGTGATCTATATTTAATTTTTGTATTTTTTTTTTCTTGGCTGAGACTAATAAAGATGTTTAACAGTCATATAATGATTAATTCATTAGTTACCGAAGCTCATGCATAGAACTGGGAGAGTGGTACTGCTATTGTAGTCTTGTTCCAAAGCTCACATTTGTACTAAAACCAACAGAAAAACAAAGATCTGAACTCCACCTTTAAACTACTGCTGTCAAATTTCCCTCTAGATGAATCTTTTACCTAGACTTCAATGTGTCACACGACAAAGCACAAAAGACAAAGCTGAGGTTCCAAAACCTAAATTTTAATGTAAGTACATCTTTATATAGATAAATACACAATCAAATCAAAAGCAGAGGTCAATTATTCAAGTTGCAACCCTCCTGTGACAGGCCTGAGATCCGTGGAGCATAGTGCAAAGAGTGGGCATGGAAGTCACATTCAAAAGCGTCTGATTCTACAGCATCGGATTAGCTGCTGGGTGATTAGTTGCTGCTGAGTTCCCGCCGAGCCGGACAGGAAATCTTCACGGCTTGGTCTCTGAGTCGGCGGCCTTTTTGCCTTTGGGCTTCAGCACCTTCTCCGCGGCGGCGTAGCTTCGCACCGCGGACTCGTACACGGAGTCTCCGGCGGACTTGGCGATGGCCGCCGCCTGCTCCGGGTAGTAGAGCGAGGTGCTGACGGCCACCAGACTGGTCGGGTACACGAGCCTCTTAATCCTCGAGCCCCTGGCGAGAAACAACCCGAGGACCCCAGTGAAGCCGATGATTCCCGCCCGGGGGTAGAAGTCCTTCGGAGGGTTCCGCAAATAGTCGTAGGCGTCACCCCCCAGCTGCACGACCTTCCGAACTCTGGGTTGGATTTTGGCGTAAGTGCCCTGACACCAAACCGCGTAGGGTTCCGCCGACTTCCTCAAGGTGGCGAGACTGTTCTCCAGCTGACCCGGCTCGGGCTCCACATAGCGAAGTTTCTGTCCGGGAGCGGAGTAGAGGGACAGTTCGTCCCGGTTCAACGGGGACGAGGCAGGGGCGTCCGGCTCTCCGCCGCCGGCAGCCTCTGAAGCGTAGACGGCGAAGGGCAGCAGACACAGGGCTCCCGGCATTGCACTACCTTTCACCTTCAACATGATCTCCTCGTGCCATACATTTGCTACGGTGTCCTTAGAGGGACATGATTAACGTGCCGCCTTTACTTTGCCTGACATACGCTTTTGTTAAATTGTATTTATTGATATGCAATGTCATTATAACAATATTTAAACCAAATATGTAATGGAATACTTTGAAGTATTTCCCAAAGGACAATAATGATAATAATAATTTTAAAAAAAAGAAATTGAATACGACGTCTCTGGTTTCCATGGCAGTCCGAAAGCTGTCTCGTCTCCATGGACACGAGATGCGTCAACAGCTAACCTCCTGCTAGCTTAGTAGCTGTTGCTTGTTAGCGACCTTTAAGTTGCACTACACTTAAACCACAGCCCCAAAGTTGTGCTTTTTTAGGCTGTCATAGTCAAAAGTATAAAGAATAAATACATATAGAAAGGGAGGAACTATCTAAATGGAGCTTCTTGGGGTTTCATCTGCCCAGAGTCTACAGTGTCTGTCTGCCTTACTATCCACTCAGCAGGAGGAAGAGGAGGATGGAAACTGTGAAGTAAGGACGAAAGAAATAGAAAAAGCATAAAGATATTAAATTAATGACTACTAGTGACTAAGTATAATACCCTGGTTTTATAATGCTCTGGCTGCCAAAAACACAATATTTTTTCTACAGAATGTTTCAGTGTGTGCACAGCTGGGTCCTGGACATATTGGCCCCCAACCCAAAAAAGTTAAAGAAAGTAAGGGTTTGTGTTTCATAACTTCTTCAGACGATGACGATACCAAGTCACAAACTCTTTGAGCATGTCTTACTTTTCATTCAGCATCGAGCGCTTATATGAAGAAGAACAGTAAAGACATCTGGAGTGAGGAAGAGGTGGCTGAGGGTGCCCACTTTGAAGATTTGGCTGACCCGCGCCCACAGCCTGAGTAAGAGAGCCCAGCAGATCGAGACACACATCTTAAGGAGGGCATTTGCTAAGCTGTTGCTTCAATATTGCACAGAGCAGGTTATTTTACTCCATAATAACCAAGCGTAATCTACACAATCAGGACCTACCTTATGGCACATGCTAATTTCTTGAACTGAGATTGAATTAATATGAATATACAAAGCTGTCAATGTATCCTGCTCAAAGTAATTGTAGCTTGTGATTTGTGTTGTCTGCATTCAGGTACGAAATTATCCTGAAACAGAGTGTGGGAACAGAGGATCTGTTTCTGGGTTTAAGCAGAAAGGACCCTTCATCTATGTGCTGTGAAGCAATGCTGGTAATTTTTCAAAGATAAGGTTAAAATAAAAGGAAATGTACAATGACGTGAGGAGAAACCAAGAAACACCAAATGTTTTCACTAAAACTTTTTTTCTTCTTTGTGGAAGAAAAATCATTTAAAAGGAAATAGAATAAAGTTTTTTATAATAAAATAAATAAATAAAGTTTTTATAATGAAAAGAGAATCCTTAAAAACATTAGGATCACAGAAAATATTTTCAGCTGTGGAAAACATTTGATTGGAGTCACTTAGTTTAAGTTTTGCATTTCTAACATTGAAAGGCTAATAAAGTCACAACTCATACATACATACATTTATACAAAACATTAAAGATAGGAAAATTGTATGCTTTCTAAAGAAAATATATCGTTTTCAAAATGTATATTCTGACTAGTTCAGTTTTTTTCCCACTCACAGGTGAAAATCAAACTGCCCGACACCAAAGCAACAGATGTAATCCTTGATGTAAAAGAGAAGTTCCTTGATCTGCGGACGCCAAAGTAGTAAGACCCATTATAAAGTATCTTCTTTCATATTTGATTCCCCTCTTGACTGATGGGCAAAAACCGCTTAGTTCAAAAACGTTCCTCAATTATTAGAGGTTCCCGTCTGATTCTGAGCTTTGGTGGCTGTATCACACTGCTCTTAACTTCCCACAATAGTCTAAATTGCTCTCCGGTGCTCTCCGGTGCTCTTGCTGTCTGTTTTACGTGTCCTTTTTCCCCTCCTTAAGTAAACTGGGCCTCCATCTGCCCCACCCCATCCACAGTCAGGAGGGCAGGGCTCAGTTTTTCAGCAGCAGGGGGGAACTGGAGGTGACTCTTCTGATGAAACGCCCCATGGACTTCATCAACATGCAGTAGAAAAAATGAAAACATACACACTCCCTTGTTGACTTGTTAGAAAGGCGTATAAATATAGAAATTAGTGCTGTAAGACCTGCTTAAATGTGTGAATGTTATTTTATCATTTTTGATCTGTGTACCACAACTAATAAAGTGTTTATAATACAATTTTGCCTTATAATTCAACTGGCTAATCTTTGAGAAACCAGCACAAAAAACAAAAACAGTAAAGGATGATAATCACTGCCTTTTTCTAAAGATGGTTTATTAACACTGGCCTCATGCGATGACTGAGTTTCATCTTTGATTACACAAAAGTTAAACTCATCTATAAGACCAGTGGAGTAGTGCCCTCAAAGGTCCTGCTGTTGTACCCTCCTAATTTGTCCATTTACTCCTTGGGAACATGTGTACCTTTCAAGGCCTTTATAGACATGGGCCTAGGGATCCAGCTATCAGACATATAGAGTACATAAGTTGAGAAAGTACCTCTGGAGACATAATGTTCTCGTACTGTCCCCCTATTTGTGACAATAAAGAGAGAGAGGATATAGGATATTTATTTACCTACATCTCTCTCTGTCTCTTTCATATGTGTTATAGGATATTTAAATCTGTTCCAGGTACAGGGTCCAAATAATACTGAAATGAAAATATGTGTATCCGAAATTACAGATAGGAAAAGACAGAGAACATAAGGACTTTATTTATTTATTTATTTATTTATTTAGTTATTTAACCAGGACAGTGCACATTAATGAACAATCTCATACAGATTGTAAATGAGCCAGATTCTAGCATAGTTGCTAATTTACATCTGTCGTCCTGAGGTAGGAAAACAGATAGACACACGTTCAGACGATGCCATTACAAAATTAAAATGAGTGATTGCATGACTGGGAACTTTTGAGAAACAGTTTAAGGTGCTTTTTGAATGTGTACCATGTGTTTAACAAACCTTTCCGTTCCCGGTGCCAAAGAGCCCCCCTCACCTGCCCGCGGAGGCGTGTGTCCCGAGCAGCCCCCCCCCCACCCCCCCCCCCCCGCCCCACCGGCTCCGTTACCGCAGCAGCGGCCGCCGCGGTGGTTCGATCATGTGACGCCTGCGCTCCCGACACAACAACACGGCACCGGGTCGGTCTGCAATCTCGCTCCAGGCATGGCGGACGGAGAGAGGTCCCCGTTACTCTCAGACCTGGGAGATGGGGCTCTCGGCAGCGGCAACGGCGGGGTCTCGCCCGGCCCGGCGCCCTACGGCGTGCCCAACAAACCGGAGGGTGAGTCTCCATGGTGCTCTCCTCCATCCCGACTCCAGCCTCCGTTAGCCTAGCATGCCGTAGCATCCGCGGACGGGACGTGCTCCGGTTAGCCCGCCGCCTCAGCCGTGACGCGGACAAACAGTCGTCCCGTCGGGCTCAAACGGGTGCAGAACATAACATATGGTGACACAGTAATTAGTCACGAGCCTCTTTTATTTGGGAAATACAACGGTTTTACAAGTGGCGACGCTGTCAGAGGGCGTGCTAAGTGGCTAACCCAGCATCCATTGTGTTAGCGCGTTAGCTAGCTCTCCTTATTACCGGCAAACTGTCAGCAGAGCTTAACCATCATCATTACAGTGGCCTGTTAGACTGCATATCAGTGTTTGTTCTTTGCATATTATTTTGAGAGCATTCAGACAGCTTAAGGATGCCCACTGTGCACTTGGGGTTGATTCATACCGTTTAGCTAACTAGCATCCTAGAAAACACCTGATCTGACTGTCATGGCAGAGATCCATTAAGGGGGCAGCTGAGAGATGCTGCAACGGAAACCAGCCACCAATCCCTGCTAGTACCCAAAGAGTCTAAATACACAATTGGCAGGGGCATGAAATATGCTTCCAAAGTGTGTTTTGCCTTGTCTATAGGTGAACAATGGAACAGGCAGCTCTGCATGTTGCATATGATTTCTTAGTTAAGCTGTCCCACACATTCTGGTTTAACTCAACACCTAGACAAATACCTCGACTCGTGTGTTGAAACTAACCCCGCTCAGCATTCCAGGGGTGTTTTTCTTCCAAAGCTCCTTTCTGCTTAACTGGAGGCCAAATCTTATTATCTTGTTTACTGTAGTAGGTTGCTTGTCATGGGAATTGAGTCTTTTTCCAATCCTCTGCACAGCTCTCATGACTGTGCTCCTTGAACAATCCCACATTTGTCACCGGTCTTATAACCTCTGGATTTTTTCTATTTGTCCCTCTCCTCCCTGTCCAGGCCTCCCCCCGTTCCCCAGCCCCTCCCAGCCCTCGGTGCTTCTGGGAGAGGACCCCCCGCCCTACTCGCCCCTCACCTCCCCAGAGAGTGGCAGTGCCCCTGTGATCAGCTGCAGGGTGTGCCAGAGCCTCATCTCTGTGGAGGGCAAGATCCACCAGCACGTGGTGAAGTGCGGGGTTTGCAACGAAGCCACGGTAAGCTCACAGAAGGGCATGAAGACTAAATGTGCACTGGCTAAAATATGCCCAATAACAACATCCACTTCCTATACCTGCGTATTCCGAGGAGGGTTGCAGGTGGGGGCAGTGCCACCTGGGAAAGGGGTTAGGGTAATTATAGACCCAAATAACTGCTTCATAGATTACAACATAAACAGCAAACTTAATTCCTTCTTTGAAAAGTAACGAGATTGAAAATTGCGACCCACATTGGAACGAGGGCGAGTCTGTCCGATGGGCAATGGGGCTCCCTGGTGCTGAACTCACAGCCAGCGCGCGCGATTCAACTGTTTTGGACCTGACCCAGATTATCTGGGGAAATTTCTATTGTAAGCTCCGTGCCCAACGAAAATGAACACCTCAAACAGCTGCGCACCACAGCCAACGCTCCCAGCTGTTGCTGCATCTCTCTGTTTTTGATAACTCTTAATCCACGAGAGATGTTACGAATCCAATATGGCGGCTCGTTCTGGACACAGCCTAAAAATAGGCCCCTCACTCATTGCCTGTTGGGGTATTCGGATATGTCACTTTCCCTTTGGCTTCTGAAATAAAACAACGTCCCCTGACTCCGGACTCACTCGGTAGAACGTTGTAACTAATTAGTAATCGGAGCAGCTTCAGGTGTAATGTGAACCGAGGGGCTGAGGTCACATGAGGCCATGCACACAGTCAAACAGCCCAAACAGTCAGAGAAGACTTCTCAGTGGGTTTTATGAACTGAAAATGACCCGCTGAAGGTTTGAATGACGTTCTCTATGTGAGAACTGTTGGGCCGTGGCAGGATGCTCAGCAGCAGCTGGAATTGCCAGTCGTGTCTTTACCCACAGAAGAGAGGTCAGCGTGATTGGGGGCGATGAGACGGCTGGTAATCTCACCGGGTTGACGGGGCTCCACGAGTGAGATGTGGCCAAATGCCCCGAATAGGAAAACCAGTTACAGATGGAGACGGCATATGCAGATGAACACGGATACAGGGTGTGTTTGGGACCTCCCGGTGTAACAAGCCGACATATTTACACTCAAATTGTCCAGTGTGCAGACATGCATAAACCCATGATTCGTATCTTCCTCTCGTTATCTTATTAGAGATGTATCGCTTTTGTTTTAGAGCGAAGAATCGACGTTGTGGATAGTGCAGTGCCACCTTTCATTGGACAGTTAGCGCAGTCCATCTGTATCCATCGCTCTCTCTCTGCTGCCCATTTATGGTGGAAAAAAACTTTCCTCCCGTTAGATCTGAGGCTGTCGCTTTGTGGCCGAAACTTTAAAGCGTAGATATGTCCGATGTAAAGTCACATGACTTACACTTGAGTGTTTTAAAGACATGTTCTTCCAAAATGATCCAATAGGTTATTCTCAAAAGCATTTTTATTAAAAACTTAACAAGGAATATGTGCATTCCGGGTTAAGTTGCATAGAGCAAAATACAAAAGAACTAACCAAAGTGCTGATCAAATGATTAAAAAAAAGATGGTGACATCTGCAGGTGTCAGATTCTCCACAGTTGTTGGGTTTTTTAATCACTGCCTCGGATCACAGCAGGTTAGTAGTAACATGTTGAGCTTCATATTGCAAGAAGAAATGAGTCAACAAGCAATAAGCACCATGGAGTGTTTCCACCTGAGAACTGCACTGATTACCGTCTCCAAGCACTCAGACTGCCTGTTTGATGCTCTCCAAACCTTAAAAAAAAAAAACCTTCTCGCTCCGTTTGCTGCACGATTCTGGGCTGGCAGTCAGGAACAGATGGCGGGAGCAGGGACCTCACACTCCAGGCGTTTGGGGGGGGGGTTGAGATGTTTCCCCGCTTCTACACACTATAGGACTGGAGTTTAGAGGTTAGCTCACAATGGCTTCACGATCACCCCTGAACATACTCGCATGTGTATTATTACAGTGCCACCAGGCCCAGAAAAGAAAAGGCTTTCAGGGTTGATGAAAAAAAAGAAAAAGTGCCGTGGAGCACTCTTTACTGAGATGAAGTGTCTGAGTGAGCCTCTTTGTTTGCAGAAGGCCACCGGGCCTTGATGTGCTTTTGCTTACCATAAATACAAAAGCACGGCACAAATGAATGCTGCTTCAAGTCCCCTTTCCAATCATAACTCTTTTTCCCATCACACAGGCTTTGGAGCAACTCCTTTAATTATGTCTTTTGAACTGTTAACCTGCAATTTGTGTACAGTCACATCCAATTCCTTCCAGAGCACCTCTCTGCCTCCTGTACTATTTATTCATCCTCGTCCATCACGTTTAATTGGCTCTTTCTCTTCTCCTCTTCTAAACCATTGCTCTGCTGTGGGCTTATCTCTCCCCGCTGTGTGTTTGTCTCCCTCTGCAGCCCATTAAGAACGCCCCAGCAGGGAAGAAGTACGTTCGCTGCCCCTGCAACTGTCTCCTCATCTGCAAAGTCACTTCTCAGCGGATTGCCTGTCCCCGACCATATTGGTGAGGAATTATTTGCGTTTGGCCGCGAGCGGCGCGGCGCGGCGAGGCCGCTCTCGCATTACGTCCCGCCTCCGAGGGGGGAAGCAGAGCGGAGGAAACGAGGTGCGGAGGGAACAGCGGCGCCTCAATTAAGGCTGTGCTCTCAGCGCGGTTTACACGGCGAGCCCAGCCAGCCGGATGGGGAAACGCAGGCCTCATTAGAACAGCCACATCATGGGTTTCGCTTCTGCGCATCATCACTTTTAAGTGTGTCTGTGCATAGTTACAAAAAAACTTGCTCGGAATTGGGATTGCAAAAAAAAGCATCTATTTGATATAGATGTATCCAGATAGAAAGCATGTTTTCTTATCTTGAGGCCTCTTATATCTCTTTAAGACTCCACTGCATGTACGAGTCTGTTTGGAAAACCAACAAATGTTTTTTTTTTAAGTAATAAATTCTCACGGGTAGCTCCTGATCAAACACGCATCTAAAAAATTCACTCATATTATCAGCGCAGTCAGTAAAATAGACAATCTGCTAGTCAGTATCCTCCTTTCAGATAACTGTCTTCATAAGCAGTGGGCTTTGTAACAAATCTGCTCACATCTAAGAGCTAAATTAGTCCAGCCGAGACCTCTCTGCTTCCCCAGAGTGAGCTGGTATGAAGCAGAAGCTGCCATGTTTCATCTATACCCAGAGAAAATGTTTTCCTACCACTACTCAAGTGCTCTGATAATAATCACTGTAAATTTGTTCACACATTAACCAAATTTGAAGATACTATAGACAATACCTGTGAAGAAAGCCAAGCTGTATGACACATACTTTATGGAAGCTCTAAGGGGTTGGGGAGGGGTTGTTTTGAAGCAAACGCATTAGTTATTGTGATGTTTTACAGAATGAGATTTATACAGTGATAGTAGACGGCTTCCTGTCGCTTTAAAAGCTCTGGCAGCTCATCTGAACATCGTGCTGGTTTAAAGGGTGAGACAGATAAGATTCTGTGTTTATGCCCGAGGCATAAAATGTGAAAGGGAAACATTTTCAGCCCTTTCTTTTCTTTCCCTTTCCAAAATAATGCTTTAAAGTGTGTCATTGTTATCCACAAATCTCCAAACCTGCCGTCATAAACATCAGAAACCTGTAATAGATTTACAAATGCAGATCATTTAGCTGAGATCACTAATAGTGTTTCAACCGATCATTTCCTCCAACGCCAACAGCCAACTGCCCCTTTTAAAAAGATGAAGAAGAAATTGATCTTTTAGATTAAACTGTTTTATGTGCTGACGATTAACTTTAAAACTTGTCAAATTGGAGATGGCATATGCTGAAACCTTTCTGCTCAGTTGTTCACAGAGGTGGCGTTTACACGCCGTTCTCAGGAGCTTCCCCCCACCGTCAGTGTTTAGCATTAAAACCAGACACGCCGACCGAACCACAGACATCTCAGTGGCCCCGTCTGATCAGGGAATCCGAGCGGCTGCTGGTATGGGGGGGGGCAGATTTCAGAAAGGCAATGAGACTAGCTCCCGAACGGCTGCACAGCAGAGGAAAGCCCTTGAAGCATCAAGCATCATGAGGCCGCTGTCGTTTCCACACGGCCTGAATAAATCATGAGGCTCTCGTGTCGGGAGCGTTTTTTTTACTGTGTGTGTGTTTGTCTGTCTCCCTTCAGTAAGAGGATAATAAATCTGGGCCCAGTCCACCCTGGTCCGGCCAGTCCCGACCCCCAGCCCGCCGGGGCCAGAGTCTCCTGTGGACACTGCAGCAACACCTTCCTGGTACCAGCTCACAAACACGTCTGCTCCAGATGAATGACAACACACAACATTTCACATCACAGTTTTTTACGGTGCTTGGCATGAATGAATAAGTGTTACATATAAGCAGGGTTTAACCAGCTCATATTTTCCCATTTTACTCTTTTTTTTCCCACTGTTGCTTAACTATTTCTAACTTTCTGAATGGTTTCCACATTATATAACATACCAGGGATCTTATTAGGCACTATCAGTGTCTTTATTTGAAGAGAATAGACATAAATTACATTTAAATCTCCACCCCACTTGTTCCTTCTGCAGAGCCGTTTCGATCACTTTCACCAGAGAGCAGATCAGACAAACAGTATTGAGGAGAGGACGCATTTTTATGGCCTTTGCGTTTCCCGTGACACTTTAATTCTCCACAGCTCAAGTGTCCAGTGACAGCTCGAGCAGCACTGCAAAGCCTTTTTGTTTGGAAGGCTACTGTAGGAGGTGAATTATCGAAAAGCCAAAAGAGATCCGCTCCGGGCCGAGAAAACGTTGAGCTACGGCCGTCAGATCAATAACCCCGTCCACGCCCCTCTCCGCGCTAAAGGGGAAGCCACTGTCAGACAGCTGGAGACCAGGCCGGGGTGGTTTGGAGAAGACAGGTGTTGGGGAGGGCAACAAAAAAAGCCAGATGGAGTTTCCACGGCTCTAGTGAAGATGTTCTCTGTGCTGTTTGCGTGGCGCCACAACAACAGTAACATGACAAATGCACAGTGGGAGGTTTTGAAATGCATCACACCCAAACAGAGAATAGATTTCTGCACCGAGCTCCTCCGACTGCATCATCCGTTGGATCGCGGTGTCACATCTCCAAAGCTTTTGCACAAAGGCTGTAAGAGAGGAACCTATCCTGGGGTTTATTACCTGCCTCAGCCCTGATTTATGTAGCTTGAATAGCTGTAATTCGAGAGATTTATCAAACGAACGCAGGCTTTCAAATCCAGTAACTTAGCATTTTTGTGCCTTTTAACAAAAGAAAAGCGTTTGGGCGGGAAGCAGTTGGCTCCAGAAATGTGCTCTGATATCACCTGATGCACCCGCTGTCATAAGTGTAGGACTGGAGGTCAAAGGAAAATAGGACGAACGTCACACTTTCATTTAGGAAGGTCTCATCACAGGAAACGATGACTCTGCAAATGCCGGCTGGCTTTTTGGCCCCAGCGGAAGCTCACGTTTTCCTCTCTGTGATTTTCAGTGGACAGAGTTCACGGATCGGACGCTGGCCCGGTGCCCACACTGCAGGAAAGTGTAAGTACCACTAAGCAAATCATGTCCGGCTCTGGCCGTCCTCCTGCACTTTGCCTCGACGCTGAATCTGGCATTTAGACGAATCTTTCCTCTGCTAGTTTTAACTGAAAACACCAAGAGAGCAGGTAGCGACCTCTGGGTCTCTGAATGATTTATTTTATCTTCATTCCAACTCTTTATATCCTGTTAATGGGACTTAGTCTCTAACTTCTAAAGCCTCAAGATATTCATCTTACCTGCTCAATGAGTTTTTTGTGTGCGCCAGGTTTCTATAGATCGCCCCTCATAAGCTCCTTAACACTGTGAGCTAAGTTCATGCATACTGCTGTAAAGAAAGGGAACTGGCAGCTGGAACCCGGCTGGGATTATTAACTGATGATTTCATCATCACAGTTTTCCGATTTCCGATTTCTGGAGCTCAGATCCAAAATGCTGTCACAAGGCCTGAGCGCTTGTGGCCTTTCAGTGTCCTGTTTGGGATAATTGTCTCAGATGAACAGCCCCTTTGCTATCGTCTCCTCTGCAGCTCCTCCATTGGCCAGAGGTATCCTCGGAGGCGGAGCTTGTGGTGTTTTCTACTCTGCCTATTGTTCAGCATCTCCACGGCCGGGCTGATGGTGAGTGCCACCTTTAGGTGACGTGCTGGGGCCCAGGTGATGAAAGACCTGCCGCGCTGGCATGCAATTAACTTCTTAGAGAGCCCGAGTATTCTCTAAATAAGCTCTGCTGGCTCCTTTATAATTGCCGATAACACTACACAAGTAGGAGGAAGCCATAGAATTGTAATGTCCCTTGTCGGTTCTTGTTTAACATGGAGGGCGTGAACCTCACTGCTACCCTTCAGACGCGGTGACAGGCCCCTATTTGTCAGTGCCACCCACCACAAACGCACTCTACTTCAGGCTCAAGCAGCACGTCTGCTGAGGAGTTATACCAGTATAATCAGAATAAATCATCCCATTAGCTTTAGCATAAGATGCATTATCTTAAAACATGCCTTTGTTTCTCAACATCTTGGACAAATTACAGCTGAATAAACTGTAGTCTCATCTAGTGTTGTTCCAAGATACAGACACACAAGTTATTTTTCACCTCAACGTGGGTTCGAGAGGAGTTTACCTCTTTGTCTTCTCCATTTAGGACGGAGTGGCACCTTCTTTTAAAAACCTGCCCTTTTATTTAGCATATACAACCCGGGAAGCTGCTTCTGTATTTGTTATTTAGTGAGCCGAGCGGAGCTGGAGAGAGCAACCTGGGGGCGTTTCCTTATGAATGCAGCCTTAGATAATCGGTTTGATTTGCTCAGAAGTTCTGGGGGATGAACAGTGTCTGGAATCGTGCAGGGCACGTTCATCCTGTCGGCACAGTCTGCCTGCTGAACAGCAGAGGGTGCACTATGAGCACCAAACGGCTCCCCCTCACACAGAGAGACGTGCCCGAACGCAGGAGTAGACATCAGCGACGCGCAGGCACCAAACACGCCGTGCAGAGAGCGTTGCATAATTGCAATATCTGCTTAATGCCTCACCGTTGAGTCAGGATGTTTGTTAAAAGGCTGCTTTGATTACCAGACTTTTTTTTCCAGAAGACACGGATGAGAAATCCCTGGGCGTTTGCGTTGCATCAGCAGCCTTTTAGCCTCAGGAGCCAAACGCAAACAGTAAATAATGCTTTCCCGGCTTCAATAAATGATAAAAGGGAGAGTAGTTAGTCTAGATTAAGAGGATGGACCTTTTCCCAGCGAAGGGCTTTGACATGCTGGATGTGTGGTGTGTCAGCAGGGAGGCAACGTATAAGTTTCCCCGACTCGCCAGAGCCGCTTGAATCATTTAGAGGAGGAGAAAGCTTCCATTATAGCATAGTAATGATTTTTTTTTCTTCCTGCAGCATGTTGAAAGTCTAGCGTTGAAAGAAGGTGTTGGATTCCACATGAGATTATTCATCTGAGCGGCAGGATTAATAAAAAAAAATGTAACGACAAAAAGTTTCAGCACTCATGAGAAAAGAGCGGATGTGCAAAAGAAATGTGCCGTTTGATTCGGTCGACGTTTTTGTTGTTAGCTTTGCGACGTTAAAGTGGGAATTCAGCTCCTCATCCTCATAAAAACTCCCTGCGGGGGTTCCCTCAAAGTCATTTTTGCAGTCTTCATTAAATATTTCCCCTCTGAGCAGCTGCACATTTAATAGTTGATGGGAAAACTACTTACTCCCTCATTTTGAAGTCACTCCTCTGTAGCTGTTGCATAAAAAATGGCTCAGCCCCGCCACGGCGGCAGACTGCATGTAGATTAGTCTTTGTATTTCTACAAAACTGAACCTGAAGTCTGAGGTCTGTTTGTTTTAGAGCTGCAGTAATTGGGTTGATTCCCTCCCCCTCGTGGGTTTTTAGCCTGGATCAGGCTTTAAAAAGTCTTATGAAGTGGAGGAAAACGGTTAGAATGACTTGAGAACGAGAAAAACAGAAGAGGCTGAGGAAAGCTTTGGTTTCCCATTTTAAAGGCCGTATTTTCACAATTATCTCCACTGTCATGTCCCCCCCAGGCTGGAACGTGGGGGAAGGCTCAGACCTACCCGGGGATCTACGCCTCCTGGGCCGCCATGCTGCTCCTGGTTCTGGTCACCTTGGCCAGGGCCTTCTACTGGGCCTGCATGAGGGTCAGCCAGCCTCTCCAGAACTTCACATAGAAGCCCCGCCCCCCCCCAGCCCCTCGCCGTCATCTCGCCACTCCTATCCTCCCAGCCCGCCAGGCAGGAGGAAGGCTGGCATTAGCGAGAAAAGAAGCGAATCAAAACTAAATACAATATTTATTTGAATCCAGCTCCTTGAAGAAGACCCCCCCCCCCCCCTCTGCTTTCCCCCCCCTTCCCTCAAACTGGATGGGGGCGGCGACTGCTATATATTCTGAAGAGGCGTATAAACTAATGTACTGTCGACCTATTCTAACATTGTGGCCAGTGTGGGGTTCCTTTTAACGTTTTTAACTCCTTTCCCTCCGTCGCCGTGCCGTTGGGGCTTCTGAGACGAGCTCTTTTATGTCCCTCTTTTAGGACTCGCTCAGTTTCCAGTCCTGATTTGACGTTAGGGTAAAGTTGTTTTTGTTTTTGTTTCGTTTTTTAAACCGAGCAGCAAAACTCAAACGAACCGAACAAATTGGTGCCAGTAGGAGATGATTGGCGGGGGGGGGACGTCAGTCTGCTTTCGCTCATCAAAAAGATCTCGCAG